TTATCAAGGTACAGCTTCTATTAGGAATATGACTCAAATTGTGTTTTATATTCAGAAACATGCTCTATGCTTGTTAGTTTATATGAGCGACCTTCATTTATCCTCAGCAAATAGCTCGTTATACGTTGCTAGCGCTAATGCCTAGCATAGCCGGTGTATGAGCTAATGGTGTTAGCCTGCTAGCCTGTCCACAGCACTGCAAGGTCAGTACGTTATGGGTAACGTTACATGATGTGTTGCATAGAAAACAACGAATGACCTGTCAAATGTGAATAAGGATTATTGACTAAACTTGTACATTGTCCTGTGGTAGGGTAGGGTGAGTTTATAAAAGTATAACTAGTCCCTGTAGTCTCTAAATTAAAATGGTCACACAGTGTATACTTACTAAGTTATATAAAAGCTGTATATTTGAAAACATTTTGTTTAAAAGTGGACTATATGAATTATATCACGTCAAGTACCCATTAACAACAGACTGTGATTTGCATGCTGTCCAAAACTTTGACCCAACTGTATTTTCTCGTACTGAATGTTTATTTTTAGTCATATGCAGTAAAGAAATAGATTTGTAAAATATGAGAGTTGCCTGTGAAGTCTTGACAAGCTCACCAGTCAACAAACCAGCAGTTTTCTTTCTCTGATTTCAGACAGCAAGATGGTCAGCCTTGCTAATTGGATTAATTTATGGGAAGCAGAGATATGGTAAGCGTTTATGAACGATTTTACGTTGTAGTTTAAAACTTAAATTAATTCAGTTATATTTTGTATTGGGATGCCTTTTGTGCCTCTGTTAATTGTCTTTCTATGGTGTTTTTCAATCAATCTGCTCACCAGATTATCTGAAGCCCATTGCTGCTGAAGAAAGGAGGATTGAGGAGGAAGAGAAGAAACTCAGGGAAGAGCAAGAGCGCATTTACAAACAGCTTTCTGAAGGTCTGTAACCCCTATCTCTCTCTATACACATTATTCTACAATATAACAAGAATAAAATATAACAAAATGTATCACATGATGTTGCAAAAACCCTGTTCCACCTGTCCTTTGTCTCAATATGGACATTTTATATTAAACAATAGAGGGTAGATACAGTAATGTTGAAATGGCGTCTGGTGAAATAAATTAGTCCCTTTTTTATTTTGTGATATATTAACAGCATCTCATGATGTAGCAGATTTCACCTATGTGAAGTTTAACTTGGGGTTTGAAGATATTCAATGAAAATATTCAGTCAGACAATTTCAAAGAAGTGTTATTTATGGAAAGGAATTTCAGGGGATGTATTTCAACAGTTTATGAACTAGAGAAAGTTATCAAAGTTCATTGTATACACATTTAGTAGTGATACAGGGTGTTACTTTACCACAAATATTTCAAAATGTGAAAAGATATCACTACTCTCTCTTTTTTTTTTTTATCTCCACAGCAAACTCTGACACCATTCTGAAGTAAATCTCCATGATGTATCCATTCCAGCACCAAATGAAATGAATCACAATAAACCTAATTTTATTTTCAATAAAGACAGAAGGTAAAAATATTCTTGTATGTTTTCTTTTTCCTCATTGCCATTATTCAGGTAATTCTGATTATATGCATCATAAGGGCGTCTGCATACCTTTTCAGCAAGAAAAGAACATTTTCATTTGGTTGGGTTATAGTTATATGCACTATATGCATGACAAACCAAGATCATTCTCTGAGAATGTGTTGAGGACTGTTTTGTCTTTACTGCACTGCTGTGGTGACGTTTATAGAGGGAGGACGGTTGTATAACCTCACCATGGTTTAGCATAAATCCCAGGATTTAGGTCAAGCCAATACAGCACAAGTGCTGATTTTGCACAAATGCTTCACAGCTACTTAGCTGCACTTCATTAACTATTTAAAAAAGCTCTGCTTTCCTCCATCTATAAACAACATTTCTACTGAGTTAATCTAAAAACCCAAAACTGCCATGACTTTAACAGAGACAAAAATATTGGAAGTCTTGTAAGAATATTGTCAGAAGATTTATTGGGAAATGGAATGTGTAGGGATGTTCAGATAACCTTTGCAGATGACACTCAGTTACAGTATCTAGGAAGGGAAGGGTGGAAACTGCTGATAGTTCTCATGGGATACGAGGCTTTCTTATCGAGTGACTCATTGAGTAGATGTGTGAAGAGAATCAAATCCTTTGTAGTTTGAAATAGTCTCAAATTAATATTGTTATTGCTTTAATATACTACCCATCAAAAAAATTGGGGTCTGTAAGTTATGTTTTTGAAAGAAGTCTCTTCTGCTCACCAAGGCTGCATTTAATTGATAAAAATACAGTAAAAACAGTAATATTGTGAAATACTGCAGTGTAAAATAGCTGTTTATTTATTTTTATATATTTTAAAATGTAATTTATTCCTGTGATGACAAAGCAAAATTTTCAGCAGCCATTATTCCAGTCTCACATGATCCTTCAGAAATCATTCTAATACGCTGATTTGGTGCTCAAGAAGCATTTCCTGTTGTAACGTGATACATTTCCCCCCCCCCAGTATTCTTTGATAAATAGAAAGAACATCATTTATTTGAAATAGTCAATCTAAGAACTAAGAAAAACACAAAGTTCATAAAAATAATATGCTTTAATTGTCATTGTATTGAGCATACAGAAGTGAAGCTTAATGTTTAATCATTTAATTGGAATCATCCATATGTGATGCTGTATTTTTGATGGTTTGCGAGCATCATATTTGAAGATGAATCAAAATAATCAAATTCATGTCAAAAATGATTAAACTTGCTCTGCAAGTAAATCACATTTGTGTCAAATTCAAAAAGACTCAATAAGTCTTATTATCGGGCCCTCGCTGTCAGATCTGACACATTGATTTAAACATTCATTTTCATTGCTACTGCCTGATTCTTCGCTACTTAAATTAAACCTTTATGATATGTGAAACAGAAGCAGCAGCTTTGTATTATAAGCTTGTAAAATTCATTAAGTGCACTAAAACACACCTTTGTAATATTTACTTTTAACAGTATGTAAAGTCGTACCTCATAAAGTTTAAAAATACATTTTGTGTATTTACACAATTAGATTCACAACTGATGTTTTTACGATGTTTTATAGACAACTAGTGAAAGAAAAACTTGATTCCTACAAAAAAAGTCAGACATGAGAAGAAAAAAATTGCCAAGGACCCTTGGGAAGTCTGTGATTAAAGGGATAGTTCACCTTCAGTTGCTGGTCCCCATTGACTTGCATAGTGTTTTTTTTCACACTATGGAAGTCAATGGGGACCAGCAACTGAAGGTGAACTATCCCTTTAAATTCATGAAGGTATTCAGATTCAGGCAATTTTTTTCTTCTCATGTCTGACTTTTTTTGTAGGAATCAAGTTTTTCTTTCACTAGTTGTCTATAAAACATCGTAAAAACATCAGTTGTGAATCTAATTGTGTAAATACACAAAATGTATTTTTAAACTTTATGAGGTACGACTTTACATACTGTTAAAAGTAAATATTACAAAGGTGTGTTTTAGTGCACTTAATGAATTTTACAAGCTTATAATACAAAGCTGCTGCTTCTGTTTCACATATCATAAAGGTTTAATTTAAGTAGCGAAGAATCAGGCAGTAGCAATGAAAATGAATGTTTAAATCAATGTGTCAGATCTGACAGCGAGGGCCCGATAATAAGACTTATTGAGTCTTTTTGAATTTGACACAAATGTGATTTACTTGCAGAGCAAGTTTAATCATTTTTGACATGAATTTGATTATTTTGATTCATCTTCAAATATGATGCTCGCAAACCATCAAAAATACAGCATCACATATGGATGATTCCAATTAAATGATTAAACATTAAGCTTCACTTCTGTATGCTCAATACAATGACAATTAAAGCATATTATTTTTATGAACTTTGTGTTTTTCTTAGTTCTTAGATTGACTATTTCAAATAAATGATGTTCTTTCTATTTATCAAAGAATACTGGGGGGGGGGAAATGTATCACGTTACAACAGGAAATGCTTCTTGAGCACCAAATCAGCGTATTAGAATGATTTCTGAAGGATCATGTGAGACTGGAATAATGGCTGCTGAAAATTTTGCTTTGTCATCACAGGAATAAATTACATTTTAAAATATATAAAAATAAATAAACAGCTATTTTACACTGCAGTATTTCACAATATTACTGTTTTTACTGTATTTTTATCAATTAAATGCAGCCTTGGTGAGCAGAAGAGACTTCTTTCAAAAACATAACTTACAGACCCCAATTTTTTTGATGGGTAGTATATTAAAGCAATAACAATATTAATTTGAGACTATTTCAAACTACAAAGGATTTGATTCTCTTCACACATCTACTCAATGAGTCACTCGATAAGAAAGCCTCGTATCCCATGAGAACTATCAGCAGTTTCCACCCTTCCCTTCCTAGATACTGTAACTGAGTGTCATCTGCAAAGGTTATCTGAACATCCCTACACATTCCATTTCCCAATAAATCTTCTGACAATATTCTTACAAGACTTCCAATATTTTTGTCTCTGTTAAAGTCATGGCAGTTTTGGGTTTTTAGATTAACTCAGTAGAAATGTTGTTTATAGATGGAGGAAAGCAGAGCTTTTTTAAATAGTTAATGAAGTGCAGCTAAGTAGCTGTGAAGCATTTGTGCAAAATCAGCACTTGTGCTGTATTGGCTTGACCTAAATCCTGGGATTTATGCTAAACCATGGTGAGGTTATACAACCGTCCTCCCTCTATAAACGTCACCACAGCAGTGCAGTAAAGACAAAACAGTCCTCAACACATTCTCAGAGAATGATCTTGGTTTGTCATGCATATAGTGCATATAACTATAACCCAACCAAATGAAAATGTTCTTTTCTTGCTGAAAAGGTATGCAGACGCCCTTATGATGCATATAATCAGAATTACCTGAATAATGGCAATGAGGAAAAAGAAAACATACAAGAATATTTTTACCTTCTGTCTTTATTGAAAATAAAATTAGGTTTATTGTGATTCATTTCATTTGGTGCTGGAATGGATACATCATGGAGATTTACTTCAGAATGGTGTCAGAGTTTGCTGTGGAGATAAAAAAAAAATTAAGATATTTTAATATTTTGAATTATTTGTGGTCAAGTTCACACCCTGTAGACTGTGAGAAGAAATATATCCCCTGAAATTCCTTTCCATAAACAGCACTACTTTGCATTTGATTCACTGATTTTCAATGAATAACTTTGAACCCAAAGTTAATTTTCAAGTAGGTGAAAACTGACATGCTACATAATGAAACACTGTTAATGTATGACAAAACAAAAAGAGGACTAATTTCTTCCGTCAAACACCATTTCAACATTACTGTATCTCCCCTCTACATAAGGCTGGTTAATGTAAAATATCCGCATTCACTGAAACACAAAGATCAGAAACTAACAGGTGGGCCAGGGTTAAAAATACCACCACAAAAAATACACTTTTTGTAACATCATCTGATATATTTTGCTATATTTTATTATTGTTATATTGTAGTATAAAATTGTGTGTGTGTATACATACAGAGAGAGAGAGAGAGAGAGAGAGAGAGTGTTACAGACCTTCAGACAGCTGTTTGTAAATGCGCTCTTGCTCTTCCCTGAGTTTCTTCTCTTCCTCCTCAATCCTCCTTTCTTCAGCAGCAATGGGCTTCAGATAATCTGGTGAGAAAATTGATTAAAAAACACCATAGAAAGACAATTAATTTTATTTAATTTATTAAATTAAATTAAGGCAGAAAAGGCAACACAAAAGCCTGCTTCAAAATACCAAAACGTTTAAAAATGTCACCAAAACTCAAACACTTACCATATCTCTGCTTCCCATAAATTAACCCAATTAGCAAGGCTGACCATCTTGCTGTCTGAAATCAGGGAATGAAAACTGCTGGTTTGTTTACTGGTGAGCTTGTAAAGGACTTCACAGGCCACTCTTATATTTTACAAATCAATTTCTTTATTGAATACGACTAAAACTGAACATTCACTTTGGGAAAATAGAGTTTCAATGATGTGTGGCTCGAACTCCAGGACAACAGCATGCAAATCACAGTTTGGTAATGAATACTTGACATTCAGCAATGTCCTTTGGTGTGGCACGCTATAATTAATATAGTCAACTATTTAAAAGAGTTTTAAAATATACAGATATGTTAATATTAAGTATACACTTTGTATGACCATATTAATTTAGAGACTAACGTTACAGGGAATATTTATACTTTTATAAATTCACCTTATCGTGTGCAAGTTTAGTCGTTACCCTTATTCACATTTGACACGTTCCTTCGCTGTTTTCTTCGCAACACGTCATGGTACCCATTAGATAGCATTACTGACCTTGCAGTGCTGTGGTTAGACAGCTAGCTGGCTAACACGATTAGCTCACCCACCGGCTACATCTGCTAAAGTTATAGGTTTGACCAACAGATTCTATGCTAAGCTATGTATAGCGCTATTTGCTGAGGATAAATGAAGGTCGCTGATATAAACTATATAAACTAGCTGTTTCTGAATTTAAAACACAATTTGAGAGTCATATTCCTAAGAGAAGCTATACCTTAATAAGCGGGGAGACCTGTACGGGAGGAACCATGTTTGAACGGATCTCTTCAGGCAGGACAAGAGGAAGTCGCTGCTGCGCTCTGCTCTGATTTGATTCTCCCTGCTGTCAGTAGGCTACACTGTACACAGTACAGTACATGTCCATCAACTTTTTGCCTGTTTTTCACCATTTTTAAATAAAAAACAATAATAATGATAATAATTTTAAACCTTTTTAGAAGTTCACTTAAATATTCCTACAGTGTAACAAAGGAGTTTTTAAAAGTATAAATATTCAACCCAGTCTCTCAGTTAATATAGGGTATTCATTCATTCATTTGTTAGGCCTTTTATTATTATTGTTGTTATTATTAGTGGTAGTAGTAGTAGTAGTAGTAGTAGTAGTAGTAGTATTGTTGCTTATAATTTTAACAACCAGTTGACTTAAATAGTCTTACAGTGTGAAAATTTAGTTTTTTAATATGTATAAATATTTCATACAGTCTCTCAATTAATATAGGGTATTTATTTATTTAGTAGTAGCAGTGGATAAGATTGAGAAATAAATCAGTTTTGTCAACTGCCCATTGTCATTCAGATGTGTCATGCCTTGTCATTAAAATACAAATTGTACAAACTGTGTAAACCTTTGAAAAACTATAATTACAAAATCTTAGATAAGACCGGTTATAGTTATAAAGATGAATTCCATCAAAGCCTACTTCCTAAATAGATATTTGAAATCAGTCTCATAGTGATGATACATTTTTTTATTAGCCACAGATTAAACATTAGAGTACACTATGTCTCCACCTGAGTTGAAGTTGTTCCTTCTATTTGAATCTATTTCTGGAGGTGACGTCACTGATGCCAACACAGGTGTCAGTTTCAGAAACCTGCAGGATTAGAAAGCATGTTGGAACGCTTGTAAGTTAAATTTAAACACAGCTGACAGAATATGAAGTAAGTTCTGACACACACACAAAAAATATGCCCTGATGTGACATTGAACTATTTCTCACAGTAACCTTGATTAGTTATTATATTTAATATATGTGTTAATATTAGGTATGTTATATTGCTATACGATAGGAAAACCTTGTATCAGCCTCTTGCATTAACCTCTTCCCTTAATAGAAAGTTATGCAGAGCGCCAGAGTGTTCACTGGAAATAGAACAATGATGTACTTCTCTGGTATTTAACAGATGGATCACAAAAATACAGCCGACTTGTTTTGGAACATGACAGCATGTGCTCAGTCATAGCAGCTCTTCGACAGGCTGACACACACTGTAGTGCTAATAGAGGAGCGTTACTGGAATGTTCCAAGACAGCATATAAAAGCCTCATTGGGAGAGAAGCACAGAAGAACTCAACCAGCTCAAAACAGCACCGAAAATCCACCAAAAATGCTTTGCCCAAGCACATTTCAGCCTCACCTCAGCCCATTCATGGACTTCCACTGGCCAGTGCGCAGTCTGTGGCCGGAGACCAGACCTCTGTTCTTTCAGATCGAGAAAGAAATGATGAGACACTTGCAGGAGATGAGACACAACCTGGAGTTCATGGAACGCCTGCACCAAAGGATTTTCGACGAGATTGACCACGTTTCACCCATGACGACTTTCAAACCCATCTCATTCCAGCTCAGAAAAGAAGGAAGCCTCTATGCACTGACACTAGATACAAAGGATTTCAATCCAGAGGAGCTGTCCATTAAACAAGTGGGCAGGAAGTTGCGGGTGAGCGGCAAGACAGAGAAGAAGCAAGACGATGGGAAAGGGTCGTTCTCGTACAGATGCCAAGAATTCAGGCAGGAGTTTGACCTTCCTCAAGGTGTGAATCCTGAGATGGTGACCTGCTCTTTAAATAATGGACAGCTACAGATAGAAGCACCCAAAGAAGCCAATGCTGTGAGCAACGAGAGAGTGATTCCCATTACATACACTCCTGCTGTGAAAAGTCCTGTTCCTCAGAGCCCTCAACCTGAGAGCCAAGGAGCTGAGGCAGAGGCTACAGATAATTGAGCTTTGCCTCTATATATCGCACAATGGAACAAAATGACATTCATTTACAGCTTGAACTTACAAAATTGTAAAAGTAGGGTGACCATACGTGCCATTTTCCCAGGACGCGTCCTGGCCAGGATTTCTATATTGCCTAAAATATCTAGGTTTTGGCTTTGTTTGCGTGTGCAGACCGATCGGTGTATGACATCAAAATACCATACAGACGGTTCCTTATGCTTTCAAAATGCTCTTATGATATTTTGATATCATACACCGATCGGTCTGCACACGCAAACAAAGCCAAAACCTAGATATTTTAGGCAATATAGAAATCCTGGCCAGGATGCGTCCTGGGAAAATGGCACGTATGGTCACCCTAGTAAAAGAATCAAATTTGTCAAAGATCATTATTGGTCCTACCTTTTGTGGAATTGTATTATCATTTTGTTAATTGTATTACGATTCAGAATTCAATATTTGTTTTGTTAGATTGATACATTTTTGTTAAATTGCAAAAAAAACTTATTTTGTGTACATCCAATAAACTAAAAAACTAATCAAGCTTGGGTCCTGGAATGGCTACCATGTTTATGTAATTTGCCAGATATACACAAAACATTATTCAATTGGTAAATGTATTAATTTGTATTAATTTATTTATTTATTTAATAAATGCATCTTCAATTTTTGTCTTTACAATTTCTTAAGAATTTTTGCTTGCATTAAATTATTAAGAATTGCATGCATCTCACAAATTCATAAAACCATTTGTTTTCTTGGTGTGAAAAATCAGCAATGATCAGAAACTAAGTTATTTAATATGGATCTCATCCATATTGATGCTTTAACAAAACATGCTTAAAATATACCTAAACTTTCATTACTGTAATATTAAAAAAAAAAACATAATCTATTGAGTTTTGAAAATTTTACAAATTTTAAATATGCATGTTTTATTTATAAGGTCTTGAATGGGCTTGCTCCCCCTCCGTTAATTGAATTTATAAAACTGAGGACAGATTGTAGTATTGGTACTAGGTCTATTATTAGAGGGGATTGTGAGGTGCCATATAGGCGAACATCTTTTGGACAGAAAGTATTATCTGTAATAGGGAGAATTGGAATAGCTTACCGCAGTCAATAAGACAACGTTCTACTTATCATACCTTTAAAGATAATTTCAAAAACTGGTTTATGATGAATCAGTTGTGTAAACATTTTACTTAGAAATATTAAAATGTCTTTTATGTGCTGTTGTATGTGTATTTGAGGCTGTGTCCTTGTGTGTACCTGCCTAGGGACTGCGGATATAAATTAGCAATGTTGCTATAATCCGGCTTGTTTACATTCTGTATTACTACAAATGTTCATTAACATGCGTTGTCCCTTTCAAATAAATAAACAATAACAATAACTTTAAAATATACCTAGTTTCTGTCCACACGTCAGATATTTTTGAAAACTTAAAGAAATATTTGTACATAAAAAAACCTAAGACCTCTTCTTCGACAAGGTTTTAGTTTTTGTGTCACAACAAACATGCATAAAATAATTAAAAATAGTTGCATGCAATTATCTCACAAATTCACAAAAACATTTGTTTTCTAGGAGTGAAAAATAAGCAAATATCAAAATTGATCTCTTTAACAAGAATCTCATCCATTTCGATTCCAGTATAGAAGCAATAAAAACAGACCTTTGACCTAAAAAATAAGTAAATCCTCTCCGTTCACAAGTGACGTTGATACTTGTACTAATCACTCCAACCCTCTAGGCGGCAGTACTGCTTTAACAAAACACACTCCACACGAAATTTTAGTTCCAGAAAAAAATCTTTCCGTTTGTTCACCCGCCACTAACAAGCAAATGGCTAGCTGGGGTACTTTTTAAGGCACAATTTTGTATGTGATGAGGTAGTAAGCATATGTTTTGGGAGGAAGGTGCCGAATAATCATCTTTGAGCATGACGGCAGTAATTCACGAGTTACTGTCCTCCGTTATGGGGGTATTAGTTGAAAGTGTCGTGTCGGAGTTGAGCAAACATCTCTCTGACTTCACGACTGTCTTATCCGAAGAGTGGAAGCGCAACAAGGGGACGGCAGTGAACAAAAACAGACTTAAACAGGCGAATCAAGCCAAAACTGTAAGTTCTAGAGTAGAGGAACGATTGAAGTGTCCATTCCTGTTCATAATAGGCTTCGAAATGTTGGTTGACAGCTGTATTTACAACTTCTATTTATTTAGAAGTCCATATTGAATGTAATTATATTATAAATATAATAAACCTGTTAACCTTGTAACTTCCATCTGTTTCACAATAAGCTGTTGTTGGTTAAATAATGTGTATCCGTGTTGTTTGTAATATGTTATTTTAAATTCCCATTTGTTTTAAACGTAAATTCGCACAGATTCTTGTCCCACCACTTTAATATTTCCACGCGGAAATTAAAAAATTCTGTTCATAAATCAGGTATATATATATATATATATATATATATATATGTGTATATGTATATGTGTGTACACACCTGATTTAAGTTAAATAATCAAAAAAAAACAACAACCTTGACCTAGCAGTATGTGTTCGGCAAGGTTTAAATTTTTGTGTCACAACAATCATGACGATCGTCATCACCATCACACAAATTGTAAAAAAAAAATTGTTTGGTATTTTTACATTATTTTTCTCCTGATGGTAGCTAGCAACAACAGAAAAACAGAATCAATACTGCGTTTATACAAAATATGGTTTTGTCACCAGTGCAAGAATGTGATGACAGATTGACTGTTTAATAGATCTTGCAGAAAACATAGTGTAATCTCATTAATTCAAGCGAATGATAGTTGGCAATTTATAAAATGTGTGACATTATTTTTTATAACTGTCGGTGTTAACTCATATTAAGTGATTGGTAATTCACATTTTGTGAGGAAATGAAAGCAGGAGATTGCACTCAAAACATTTAATACCTCTAAACACACTTGTCCTTAGGTCATCTTGTTCTAGTCATATGTTGTCTGAAGAAGTCAAATATTTTGTGTGTACAAAGTAATGATCGTAAGTCTTAAGTTCTGATAGAGCACAAGATTATTAAAACAATATAAGTGCATTTGATTATAATCAAACCTGTTTTTTACATGCAGGAAATTGTAATAATTGCATGCAATGAACTAAATCTCCAATGATCTCTTTTGTGTTTCAGAAGGAGTTTGCTGATTTCATGGAGCTGTTGAGTAAAGCCACAGTAGAGACGATGGTGAAACTGATTCATGATCACATCTCAGCTCAAGTACCGGAAGCTACAGCAAAGTCTCAGCTCTCAAAACAAGACAAACTAAATGGTACATCTTTATACTTAATCACAAACCTGGGCAAACACTCAAATATTCTGTGTATGTCTTGGCTCTATCATTTACTCACCCTTAAAGGGTTAGTTCACCCAAAAATGAAAATTTTATGTTTATCTGCTTACCAGGCGGTAATGCACTTATAAGTCTGCGATCCGCCGTAAAGCAAGAAGAAGAAGACACGTCACGCGCCTGCTGTTGAGAACGCGCTCGGGACAGTTCAGACATTGCGGTGAATCAGAGGTAAAAAACAATATAAATACTGTTCAGTTTCTTGCACAGACCGATCATTTCGTGTCTTTACAATCAATATCAATGTATCGCACAGAGCTGCAGGGTTTAATTTGGTTTTGTTTGTGTATGTTTTTTTGACTCAAAGCCGTGATTCCCATTCACTTCCATTATATGACTGACAGACTGCAACGGTTTGAGTTAAAAATCTTCGTTTGTGTTCTACTGAAGAAACAAAGTCACCTACATTGGATGCCCTGGGGGTAAGCAGATAAACATCAAATTTTCACCTCCGGTCATCTTCGGAACACAAATTAAGATATTTTTGATTAATTCTGACAGCTCTCTGACCCTCCCATAGACAGCAATGTAATTACCACGATCAAGGTCCAGAAACGTAGCAAGTAGATCGGTAAAATAATCCATGTGACACCAGGGGTTCAACCGTAATATTACGAAACTACGAGAATACTTTTTGTACGCAACGAAAACAAAAATAACGACTTAATTCAACAATTTGTCTCCTCCGCGTCACCCTGGTGCCATTTTGGAGAGTATCCACTGAACGTAAACGGCGTATATGCTATTCTGTGTCAGCTGCGTCACGCGGATACGTTGTTTTCGTTTTGAACGAATTCAAACTAATTCGTATTTTACCGATCTCCTTGCCACGTTTCTGGACCTTGATCGTGGTAATTACATTGCTGTCTATGGGAGGGTCAGAGAGCTGTCAGAATTAATCAAAAATATCTTGATTTGTGTTCCGAAGACGAACGGAGGTCTTACGGGTTTAGAATGACATGAGGGTGAGTAGTTAATGACAGAATTTTCATTTTTGGGTGAAATAACCCTTTAAGTTGTTCTAAACCTGTATGAGTTTCTTTCTTTGGCTGAACACAATAGAAGATATTTTGAATAATGTGGCAGATATTTTTTCTGCTTTTAATATTAAACTCATTTCATTTTGATCAATTTCACAGAAAACAAGACTTCTTATCTTGTCATTTTTCAGCACAAGTAAATGTATCTTTAGACATTTGCACTGGAAAACAAGTCAAAAATACTGAGGAAGAATTTAACATTTTTGCAGCCTGATCAGAAAGTGCAGTAAAGTTAAAGGGGTCCTATTATGCTTTTTCACTTTTTCAACTTTAGTTAGTCTGTAATGTTGCTGTTTGAGCATAAAAAAAGATCTGCAAAGTTACAAAGCTCAAAGTCCAATTCAAAAGGAGATATTTTATTTAACAGAAATCACTTTTCAAAAACTACAACAAACGACTCGTTTGGACTACAACGCATATTTTCCGGGATTTGTGATATCACAAATACTGACGAATGGGATGAGACCTGGTTGAGCTGCACTAGAGAAGGCAACGAGTGTTATCACTATTTTTCAGTTATCAGTTTTCACAAGGCAGACGAACTTAGAGTGGTTACAATCTTTTAAATTGCGCTCAAATTGATTTGATTTTGACGCAATATTTACACTGAAGCTCGCAGGCGGCTATGGTAAGGGGCATGACATTTCCCGAGCAGGTGCCGAGTGCTGCCA